ATATATTACACAATAATTTAACAATACATAATCTGTTCAATAGGATTTAAGTTAAAAACTTGTCGAGTAGACTTCCAGGAAAGAGAGGTGCGTCACAATGGACAACTTAAGTACCAAGTCTTTCCTTAGCCAAAGTGTTCCTCAACTAGTTTTTAACAAATTTCTTATTTACAGATTCAAAATAACAGCATACAATATTTACACCGAATTTCAACATAGATAAACATACAGTAAGCATTAACAGTATTTACACAGGATTTCACGATATGAATAGTAATAAAACAATACTAATGAAAATATTGTATATGTAATGAAATATGTAATAAATATACTGGTTTAATATAATTCGATATTTTTCAATCAGATATTCTTTTGTTATAATTTTTAAATGCTTCCAGTTCCAAAAAAATACCAACATCATTGATATCAACACTAATGTCGATCACCACAAGTAAAAAGATTATAATATGCATTAATGTTCGAAAAACTTCATTTATTTAATATCTAATACCATCACTGTCATTTATCTGCAACAAATAAATTTTGTGCATAATTTTCTTCTAGGCCTTAAATGATTGATGGTTAAGGCAACGACCTATTAATCAAAGGGTCTCTGTTCCATAATTTCAAATCACTGTATAATATTTTAATTTCAAGGTTCACTTATGAATACAAAAATAAAAAAAATGAAATTTAATTAATTAGTTGAATAAAAACCAGATTAACATCTGAGCTTTCATACAGGAATAAGAAAATAATATTCAAAGTTATTTAACTTATTCACATGCAGTTTATGCATTTAACATTATAACGTTAAATAAATAAATAAATATATATATATATATATATATATATATATATATATATAATCTCTTAAAATTGATTATTGGAATATCAAATGTAAAACACATACTATATTTTTAACTTCTTATTGCTTTTTTTATCCACTGATGAAGCAAAGCACAGTTTATAGTCGTAGTAGACATGAAACAACTTAAGGGGGTGCAATGAAGTTTGATCTGAGAAGCTCCAAGAACAGTATGCAGTAACAGAGGTCTATGGAAGTAGAGAAAATAGTGATTAATTTATAGCAGAACATTTGTTGCGAATTTCACCGTCATCACCCTGTTTGACACCAATGTTGCTCATCTTAACCATAGAGTTTCCGAATTGGTAGTTGAAAAGAGCGGTGGCTAAGTATTTCTGAACAAAGGGTCTTGTGGAAGGATCAGTCCAAAGCGCTTGATCAGAACGGAGAATTCCACGCCCTCTCTTCAGGTGAGCAAAGTACGAAGTGTCGAATTTGAATTGGCTATCAGTGTCCAGTGCCACTCGTTTCGTTGGCTGGTTTTGTGGGCAAATCTGTCGCAGAAATGGAAGAAACGAAGGGTCGATGGAAGGATCAGCGGTGCCATTAGGGTTGTATATTCTGTCTGCAAAAGATTGGCAAGCTGATGTGCCTATTGTATGTCCACCTATACCATTTCACAAACAACAAAAATCGTGTTTTCATCCTATTTCTATGGCTTTGATAAAAAATTAACTCAATCCAGATTCATGTAAGAAAAAGCGATAAGAGTGTATTCAATTGATGAATGAAAGTACCAACAAGAACGACCAGGTCTAGGGTGTTGAGACCCTTATCAGAAAACTTAGTCTTCTGCACAGAGACAGTATCGTTAGGACCAGGCAAACTAAGGGCTTCGCTTCCAATTGAAACTCTTCCATCTTTGCGTCCTGTTGGCACTTTCCAACTTCTTCCACCACTCTGCATGCAACCAATATAAAAGTTTCCAACTTTAATTTTTTTTATACAAGTTAAATTATAAAAAATTAAAAATCATAAATATTTTTAATTTATATTTCTTAATTAAATTTATGTTATTTAATTTATTTATTAATTAAATGATGTGACTGTTATTTTATTTCTATTTTCACTGAGAGTTATAGGAAGTGTATACATGTAAAATTATCAAGTATATTAAGTAATTATAAAAGGATGGTTTATTTAATTTTATAAAAGTAGAGTTTAGCTAATTTAAATTTTACCAGAACAACAGAATCACGAGCAGCAAGAGCAAGGATATCAGCACAGGACACAACACCAGGGCAGCGAGCTTCGAGCTTTTCCTTTGCATCGTCAATAACCTCGTATCCTCTGAGACTAAGGTTTGGGCGTGCTGTTCTCTCGGTAGCAGAGCCAGCAATGAGAACAGAAGCATCACAACCTCGGACAAAGCAATCATGGAAGTGCAGCCTGAGTATGGCAGCAGCCAAAGTAGGGTCAGACCTAACGTGGGACTCAACTGTGGAGGTAACAATGGATTCAGCAGCCGGACATGTTCTGGAATAGAACCCTACACGCGTCCCATGCCCATGCACTGTGTTCACAACAGCAGCAGCAACCAAAACCAACTTTAGAAGCATAGCACCCTCCATTTTCATTAAGGAATATTTATATATATGTATACAATGGCTGTAGTAGTTTTGAGGATTGAGAGTGTGAAGGTTTATGCATGTATTTATGGAGATTTCGTGTCTTTGGGAGCCATTATTGGGAGAATGAGTAAGCAAAACCCAACTAATACATGTATTAATTGTCATCCTCTACTGTACTACAAATTGAACAAGTCTCATACTTCCATCTTTTAGAATAGGTAAACCCTATTGTATTAAACAATTATATGTAATTTGTATTCAAATATTAAAAATATGTTCGTTTTAATTTTTTAATTTGCATAACATATAATTAATAAAAAGCTCTTTTAATATAGTAATTGGTGTTTTTAGAACATTAATTGAGAACACCCTGTATCAGGTTGACGGAATACCTGAATTAAATTTATACGTCAATGAACTTTCAAAGTTTGATTATACTTTAAAATGCTTCATGTTCAATTTATATATCTTTATTTAATTAATTCTAGCTTTATTCTCTTAAATATAACATTTTTGGACCATAAGCCTTCTTAATTTTTTTTCCCGGCATAAAAGTGAAAATAATTAATTCCGTGGGTAAGGAGACTTGGTCTAGCATATGGAAAAGTTTTTACATAATTAATTTAGGATCAATGATTATAATGTTTAGATAAATATCACTTTCCCGAAAAGAAAAAAAAAAGAAAAAAAGAGAGTTTTGTTTTATAAAGTAATTGCTTCATTTTTATTTTATTTTTTCTTTGTTCTAGAGGTATTTATGAAAAATGTGTCCAAACTTACCTATATATAAATTACTTTAACTTACAAATAAAGTCGTTTTAATTTTTTCCGTTTTATTTTCTTCACTCCTTGAAATAATTCAACAAAACATTTGATCAGACTTCATATACTATGTCATTTTATTAGCCTTTGTAAGTTAAAAAAATGTATCTGATATATCTTTTATACTAAATATTATCTTAATATTAGATTTTATTTTAGAGTAATAGTAAATAATTGATATAATAATACAAATGTGTTTTCAGTGACAGATAATTATTTTTAAAAAAGTAAATACTAATTTATAAATAAATATTAAAAGATACATAGAGAGAGGTATATATAATGAGATATAGTGATTGGAAAAATGAAAAATATTAGCTTTCTGAAATTAAATACTTATTGAAGAAGAAGGTTTTGGTCTGTTTGAGAATGAGCGGTAGAGATATTAAAGCAAGCAGAAGAAAAACAGTAAAACACGAGTGATGCTGATGAAGGAAATGATAAATGCAGCTCAAACTATAAGCTTTTATGCAAATCACTTCTTTCCATTTCTAACAAAGCCTGGTTTTAATTACGTGTAGTGCAACAAATTTTTACACACATTTTATATCTAATATTTTATCTTTCAATCACTTTTTTTTTACAAATATAAATTTATATACAAATAATAATATTTTATGTGTATATTATAAAACAATAATATTATTTTTATATTTTTAAATGTAATTATTATTTTATAAAATAGGTAATTCATGTGTCAGTTGATTTAGGTACTACTAGATTGAAAAAAAAAATGATTTGATATAATATAAGTTATAAACTATTTTATTTAATCTAAATTATTTTTGTAGTATTTTCCAATTATTAATTGAATCAATTTTATTTTAACAATCATCTTTGACACGTATTTGACTGGTTCAAACAGCATTTTTCTTTTAAGAAATTTATGTAGTTTCTCTCAAATAAGTACTTTATTACAACTATATTCTTTTTCATATTTAAGTTTTTTGGATAAAAAACACGGATTAAAAGAAAATTTTATTAAAAGTCATCACAAAAATGTATTCAAATCAATACAAATTTCTCTTAAATTTTATTTTTATGTTTTAAAGAAGTTAACTTTTTTGTTATTTTATTCTCGAAATTACGTTGAAGAAGCAGCAGGAAAAGGAAAATTTATAAGAAAATGAAATTGGTATTCTTATATAAAAGCAGTTGATACATAAGTTAAATTATAAAAATCCTCTCTTATAATTTATAAAGTATATTTTTAATTTATTTATAAATTAATTTTAACTACTAAAAAAGATTATTTCATTTGAGAAGTGGTTGGTCCAGCCAAGCTATTTCTCCCCAATGGACAGTGGAAGAAACCAAACCATAGTTTTCAGAAATTAATTAATTAAAAGGGACAAATCGTGAATGGATGAGCCATTTTTTATTTGATCTAATCTTTTTCAATATTTTTAATTAATAATAGGGTGATGTTTACGGGACAACTACTTCAAAAAATTCTAAACAAAAATAAAAATAATAACTATTTAATGATGTTTCACTCACTTTTTTCTTTGAAACAATACTTATATATAATAATTTATATGATATTTATTCTATTTAGCTTTTTTCTTTCTCATCTTCTCTCCTTAATTAGAGTCGACACTTGGCAAGCTGATGATAATGATTTCATTTACTGTTAAGATTTTCTAAAATTTACACATTAGGCGTCATAAATGTTTACTTTAAAAGTTAAAATTTAAATTAGATATTATTTATTTTAAATATATAAATAAAATTTATAATATTATTTAGGTTGGATTTTTTAGTATATATTTCTGATCCATGTGTTAAATTTAAAAGAACAAAAAAGTTTTGAATATGGATCACAAGATCATCCAAATAAAAAACTTGTAATACAATTCAACAAGACTTTTTGAAAAAAAAAAGAAAAAAAGTTTCTTCATAAATTAAAAATAACTTATATATAACTAATTTATACATATAATTATTTCTAATTTTACTTTTAAGTTTTCCATATTTTAATTTTAACTCATACGGAAGTTTATTTAATTTTTTCTTCTTTAATTTTTCAAGATTTTTTATAAAAAAGTCCGTACTAAAATATGGTAAAACTTCTTAACCAAAGCATTTGTCTTAGTACTAATAATTATATTACTATTTAAATATTTTATCCGTTTGTCATAGAAATATTACAGTTTTCATTTAAAAATAAATAAATTGATTCGTATTTTAAAAGTAAATTTTAAATTTAACTCATTTGTATCGAATCGAATTGTAAAATAAGATGATTAAAACAATAATCCCAACAAATTATAAAATAGATGATTAGAACAATAATTTCAACAAATAACAAAATAGACGAGTTAAATAGATTTATAAAGTAATTTTTTTATTTATTAAATTAATTTTATTTATAGTAACGTAGACTTTTAATTTTTCTTTTTAATATAATATTATCTTAATTTATATATTTACTAACAATTCATTTAAATAATTTTATTTCTAAAATTTAGACAATTATCCATNATTTATACATATAATTATTTCTAATTTTACTTTTAAGTTTTCCATATTTTAATTTTAACTCATACGGAAGTTTATTTAATTTTTTCTTCTTTAATTTTTCAAGATTTTTTATAAAAAAGTCCGTACTAAAATATGGTACAACTTCTTAACCAAAGCATTTGTCTTAGTACTAATAATTATATTACTATTTAAATATTTTATCCGTTTGTCATAGAAATATTACAGTTTTCATTTAAAAATAAATAAATTGATTCGTATTTTAAAAGTAAATTTTAAATTTAACTCATTTGTATCGAATCGAATTGTAAAATAAGATGATTAAAACAATAATCCCAACAAATTATAAAATAGATGATTAGAACAATAATTTCAACAAATAACAAAATAGACGAGTTAAATAGATTTATAAAGTAATTTTTTTATTTATTAAATTAATTTTATTTATAGTAACGTAGACTTTTAATTTTTCTTTTTAATATAATATTATCTTAATTTATATATTTACTAAAAATTCATTTAAATAATTTTATTTCTAAAATTTAGACAATTATCCATACCTACTTAGAAAAAAGTTTAATTTTTGTATTACTTTTGTTCAATTCATAAACTAAACTAGCAACAGCGTCCAATCTTGCATTAATTTTCTTCAAGGAGGACAATAATGGCCGTCCTGAGATTGAGAGTTACAAGAAGAAGGAGCTTTTCATTAAGGCCATTCTCACATGCAACATTCCAATTTACTTGACAGCTCCAAGGTTACAAACTTCATTCCTACACTGCCTGATAACATCGATATACAAGAATTTTAGTATTCTCAGGAGAATATCATGTAGATACCCTTGTTATTGTCTGAACTGCAACTAGGTTGTTTATGTCCTTAACTTTAACGCTTCCTACTTCCATTCATTGGAGACATGGTTTCATCTACCAGTTCACCCCATTTTCACCCGTAAAACCTTCATACCAACAACCTTCACATCTCGTAAACCTTCATTAATGAATATTTCATTCATTATCAATGTGGTTCTTCTGCTTGCAATCATACTGCTCTTGCTGCTTTACTACAACACATACACAAGGCTGAATAAAATAGTGAAGGGGCAGATTCACACAGTCATAGAAAAAGAGGATGACGTGGAGATCGGTGTTGAAAAGAAGATAGAGATAGGAGAGGGGACAGTGATTATGACAGTGGAAGAGAGAAAGGGGCTGATATTCTTTAACGATAGCCAGAAATTTCAAATGGGTGAACTTCTTAGAGCTTCTGCTGAGCCACTGGGTCATGGGATCTTGGGAAACAGTTATAAGGCTATGCTGAATAGTGGATCTACCATTGTCGTCAAAAGGCTAAGGGACTTGAAGCCATTTACAAAGGAGGAATTTGAGAAGATAGTGAATGCGATTGCTGATATGAAGCACCCCAATTTGTTGCCTTTGCTCGCTTACTACCATTCCAGAGATGAGAAGCTCATGCTTTACAGTTTTGCAGGGAATGGAAATCTTTTCTCCCGACTTCATGGTGATTTACATCAACTTGCTCCATTTTTTTAGTTTGATATCGTGTACATTAGTCATGTTTATGTGTATGTTTATGTGCCGATGACATTTCAGATAGAGGCGGAAACCGGGCACCGTTCGGTTGGAACTCAAGATTGTCAGTTGCAAGAGGAGTGGCTCGAGCATTGGTGTACCTGCACCTCAACCACAAGTTCCAAAACGTTGTCCCACACGGCAACTTGCGGTCTTCAAACGTATTATTCGATGAAAACGATGCGGTTCTTGTTTCTGACTTCGGTCTTGCCTCCTTGATAGCACAACCTATTGCAGCTCAGCACATGGTTGTTTACAAATCACCTGAATATGGGTACGCAAGAAAGGTGACAATGCAAGCCGATGTGTGGAGCTATGGTTCACTTCTGATAGAGCTTCTGACCGGAAAAGTGTCTATTAACTCGGCTCCACAAGGAACGAATGGCGTGGATCTATGCAGTTGGGTTCATAGAGCAGTGAGGGAAGAATGGACAGCTGAGATATTTGACAAAGAAATATCAGGGCAAAAGAGTGCACTTCCTGGGATGCTGAGGTTGTTGCAGCTTGCAATGCGTTGCATTGAGAGGTTCCCTGAGAAGCGCCCTGAGATGAGAGAGGTGATGAGAGAAGTGGAGAAAATACAGGTCCCGGTGATCACAGAAGATGATGACGATGTGTCTGGGGATAGGTCCCTAACTGATGATTCTCTTTCAACCAGTACCTCTATCATTGGAGATGAAAGATAGATTATATATGAGACCTGTAATCTTTGACTTTTAATCTTGTTTTAACATCAAGGTAGTGCATTGATCCTAATAAGTTACACATTATTATGTATCTTTGTTTCTCTTAAATAGTAAACTTTTAAGTCCACTTTTATCTCGTGATTTACTACAGAAGAAATTGCATTCATTTGGTCAGATTTCATCTCACGTATTTTCGTCTTCTCTTCGGTTGGTGCTTTATCACATGGGAAAAAGTGGGTTTACAGAAAAATTTGGTTTTTATTTGTTTAATAGAATCCTATAATCTTTGATACGTGTTAAAGGAATTTGTTCATGCCAGACTCAAAATGAGTAAGTATAAAAGCGTTTTCTGCTAGAGCCGAATAATGGAAATATTGGGAAAATGTTCCTACGGTGAAGTTTTTTTCTCTGTTTTTTCACTTCCAGACTCTAAAGTTGCTGTTTTCTCCACTGAGACGCAAACAAAAACACTTTTCTTTTGGTCACCCGTCCCCATTGTCATGCTTGTTGTGAATACCAAGTTCCCGGCAAGTATCTGTGTACACGTGATAAAAGGAACTAAATCCCCAGGAACAAGACCTGACCAAAGTATACATTAGTATTTCCTAAGGAAAATATTTTAAAAAAAAAGTTAATAATTTTTTACAATAACCTAATTGGTAGTCTGTGATCGGTACATATCATCTCAAAAAGTTATTAAAAAAATTATTAAATTATCATGATCAATTTCTTAATCCCAAAAATTCTCCCAACACCTTTTGTGGAAATAAAATATACAGAAATACTTCATCATATGCCATGTTGCATGAACATGTGACTGAAAGATATACAACAAGACGAGTATAAAGAAAGTTATCTCCCAACTTTCTAGTTAAAATAAATTATTGCTTCTAAAAAACTCAATATTTTTTTCAATATTTCTTAATATTTATAAAATACTAAGGAAATACTTAAAATATTAATATTTACTGGTGTTATTCCTTTTTAGCACCTCACGTATTACTGTGTATATTGATTTTATATAAAACACAACAGTTACAGAAAAAAATGAGATGTGCAAGGAAAGAGAATATGGAAGGTATAAGAAAAAATTGAGAAGAGTTTTTGTAGTTATTTGAACAAGAAAATAGAAAAAAAAATGAATAACATAATATTAAATATAATATTACCTTTTCATAGTCAAATTATTAGTACATATATGTACTAGAATTGGTTGATCTGGTTTATGAGTTGCAACCCAATTAGGTTCCAACTTTCAAGGGTGGAAGACATTTAAATCCAGTAAAATTCTGATAAAAAGTTGCCACTAGAGGGTCCAATAATTGGTAATCTGGAAACAAATAACGGTGATAGACAATACAAAAACGCACAAGAACTTTAAATAAGTAGACCTTACAAAAACAAAAAAGGTCAAGTTACTATTGAAGGTCTTCGCGTCCACTTCACATCACATAATTTTATTGAAAAAAGGTCAAAGAAGTGATTCATTCCAGAAAAATAAACGGTACATTCAAGAGAGACTACTTTCAGATTAATCTAATGAGTTGGTGGGCTGCGCGATGATAGTGACATTTCGGATGAAAATAATTGCGAGCGTGGCACTGCTCTAAATCATCGTATATGCTACCTTATGACGACGATTAGCACAAATTTACATCAGTATTATGGCATTCGATGCAAAAATGAATTACAAAATTAACTAAGGGATCCGAGTAAGCCCGAAATAATTATACATCATCATGTACGACGATGATTGGAAAAGTAAAAATTGTACAACGAAACCTGTCAATGCTGGTTTCACCTTCATTTGGTGTTGTTTCCCCCGGAAAACTTGTTCTCCAATCCGGCTGAAGAATCTTCTTGACAGACTTGTTTCTCAGTCTTTACTGGTAGATTGACCACTGATCCATGATGTATCTGCCAATTAAACTAGAAAATGAGAGTAGGACTAAACTGTAATTTTTTACTAAAATGTCAAAATTTCATGAAAGCATACTGTGGCTCCGGATTTGAAAGGTAAAGTTTCGTTAGGAAGCAACATTGATGGATCTGAAGGCCTGTGAAACAATAAGTGTGCTACAGACCGATCGATGGGATTTGTGTTAGTTTCCATGTCCATTAATCCGGTACACCTGAATGAAGCTATGTGTTATCCAAAACATTAATTCATAAACATGGTATTTTGAGATAGATCCAAAAAATAAATAACGTCAGTACGTGAATAAAATAATACCATAATACATCTTTGGAAACATTACAAAGGCCAGATACGTAGCATACAAAACTACGAACATTCTAAATCATGTCATACCTTGTAGTGAAGAAAAATATAAGTCTGAAGCGAAGAAAGTGAGCGATACCTGCTTGCATCCTGCACCATCATTGCTTTGCATGCTTCATTGTCTCCAATGCAACCATTAGCATTATTGTTGTGTCTTTGCTCCGCACTCTTAGCCAAGCGGTATAGACTGTCCCTTATGCAAAGTTTGGTTTTAATATCCAACTGCATCAAGCAAATTTTAGGTGTGATGTGATAGACAATTACAATCAATGAAGCCACAATTTCCAGTAACGAGTCACATGCAGGTAAACTTAGCATCACGACTTCGAATCTTCAGTTTTCTTTTTCTTTTTTCTTGAAAAGTGCTAACTACTAGTTTCGTAGCATCAGCTTTGTTTATTTAATATGCAACATCACCACTTAAAATAAATTACTAAACACAGCATACGCTAATATGTTACCAATCCAAAGCAGACTCAGGTCCAACGAAGTAAATCAAATAAGCACTATATCAGCCTACTCCCTGTATAGGTAGGGGCAAAAAAAGGCAACCTAGTGCTTGCTATATAGATTCAACCGTGACCCCTTAAAGATCTATTATCCGCAGCCTTACCTTGCATTTGCCAGAGGATGTCACCACAACTCAAACCTGTGAGCTAGCTGTTGGTCACATGACAGCAACTCCAACTAAAGAACATAACCAAAACTTGCCAATAAAAAAAGATGGAAAATTGCTGAAAACTAATAGTTATGACAACTACAAATCTTTAGTTCTTCAGTTCAGGCTTTGCCTAAAATTCTTGAATATTACAGTAAAAGTAATAAATTTGATAATCCTTTCCGCTGCTTAAACCCTGAGTAATTTTGATAAATTTGATAAAACATTGCCAACTGATAAACTATAAACTTAAATGCTATTTCTCTTACTAAGTATTAGTGGTCAAAATCAAAGCTAACCATTTCAATACATGTTTAGAGTTCAATGTTGAGCAAATAAATATAATATACTCATTCCTCTCAAGATAAAAAATATATAAAGAACAAACAGGACCAAACTTGAATAAGATTCAGATACCTGATCCATGATCTGTTGCAGGTGGCAAAAGCTAGTTGCTTCAAGTGAGGTTTGGTCCAGAACAGAGCCCATGGATGAGCTTTCCTGCACTGCTGAAGAATCTATTTCTGGTGAAAAGCCTAGGCTGACTCCCTGGACTTCACTATGACCTTCATTGTCATTTTCAAACTGGTGACCTATTTGCTGAGCTGAACCGGGACTATGAAGTGGTATTTGATTTGGCGTATTATCATTTTTGAAACTGCTGGTTAACGGAGGTCCATCACAGCATTGGTACAACTTGTCTCTGTTTTCAAACGTTTTCAAGGCAGCAGCGTCCAAAGAATGACCATGAGATTCAATGTTTGACGCATATGATGACTCTTTAACAGAAGGAGACAGATGACCGTCATGCTCAGATCTTGATCCAGATAAAGTTGGAAACAAGGAACTGTGATTTGGAGCATGACTATAGTCTGGGAGTCTTGTAGGAATTTGTGCCTGTATACAGCCTAAAGAATCAGAATCTAAGTTCAGCTTATGTTTCTGGATGCTATCAAGAGATGTAACTCCACTGGAAGACGTTCCAAACGGTTGCTTTGTATCCGCATATTTCTCTGGAGGTGCGTAAGGATGAACAGAACCTCCATTTTCTATGTAACAGTTTTTTCGCCTTCCCGCTGATGGCTTTGGCAGCTTCCTCTGCGGCTGTAAAACAAAAATTATAGGTGATGTAATAGTTAGGAGTCAACTTAGTTCAGTTTAAGGGCTCACCCTAATAAAATGGATTTGGAATAGTTCAGTTTACTATTACAACTTACAATGAAACCCAGTAAATCCAACAAATTACCCTTGAAAGTGAAATGAAACAATTGATGACTTTTGAGTATAACATAAAGGTCTCGAGTCCAATTTTTAATCAGAAAATAAAAAGTAGTGTAACATGAAAAAACATAATCTATATCAAATAGAGGTACATTATTATCCTTGAAATGTCAAACATAATCAGTTCTGCGAAAGCTCATGATAGACTTGTATTACCATGTTCAATAGTTTAATTTAATGGCATCAATAATTTTTACCAGGTCAAAGGCATGTGTCAAAACTTACTATGTCACAATCCTTTGAAAAGACCACTACAGGAGATTGTTCAAATAATCCCGACCCCTCCCCCACTTCCCATATTTAGGTAAAAGAATTCGCATCACGTGTTTTTGCTCCATAATTAAAAAGTTGGGAATTCAGAACCTATATTAGAAGATAGAGAGAAAATATAATGAAATAAAACGAATGGGTAACCAACCTTTTCTTTGGGTAGCAAGTCAATTATATCACCAGATTTCATATCAGACTCATTCTCACTGAACATTGATAATGGAACAGGTACACTATCGTCAATAACATCCATTTGAGAACTGTTTTTTTCATCAACAGGAGACGATCTTTCATTGGAATCTTTTGAAATACCAACCAAATTTTCCTTAGAATCCATTTTATAATCTGTTAAACTTTTCAATGGACTCATTTCTGCATATGAAAACTTAAAGTCAGACTTCAATGCATCATCAGAACCTTCAGCACCATGAGAAGATGAGAGCCAGCAGAACTCCTCTTCATTGTTGAGGCTTCCCGCTCCAAACGTTAAATCACAACTTCTGAAATTTAAAAAAGTGATATTTATATTTTGAAAGATGATTGCAATGAATTGATTAGC